TCCTACAGTATGCCATTCTTATTGCATTCAGAAACCAACCTATCATGCAAAAAGTCTACAATTCAAGCATATTCATTTAATCATATAATATACCATATATATATACACACATACAAATGTACAAAAATCTTTCAGATATTTCTCAGTCACCTATTGAAGAATAAAAGTCTAATCTCCAATGCTGCCTGGCATAAAACCACATTGCAGTTCCAAAACGTATTCATTGGTACTGCTCAATTTCTTTAAATCAGAATTATGCCAAATACTTTCCCAGACACATTTAACAAACTAATCTCCCTGTAGTTTTTGTATTTTCTCTTTCCAACTTTCCTTTGAATGGGTGAACAATAACCACATTCTTCATTCCTCAAGGAACAGATAAAATCTTCACACATAAATATCCATATTTTAATATTTCTTCAGCTACACTATCACATTTGCAGTCTTACCATTTTTCAAAAGTATCAAAGCATTCATTCATGATTTCCATCATATTTTTTTTTGGTTATTAACAATTATAGCATCCACTTCAGTTCTACTCTTCAATGTATCAGAACTATATTCCTTCCTGAATTCTCTCACTTCAGTTTCATCAGAAGCAGTTGCATAATGCTTATTTTTAATTTATTTCACTCTGGTGAAGGTTTCTTGTTTAGTTCTCTTCACCTAATTTAAAAAAAAAAATCAACAATGTTTGTTGTTGCATTTCCTCTATCTCTTTTAATTCCAGCCATTTCTTGATCTCTTTGACTATATTCTACAGCTGCCTTTTCTTCTCTAAGTACATTATACAATATCTTAATTTTTGCAGCAATCCCTCTCTTAAACACCATTTCTTTTTCATTCACAACATTCTCACTACCATTTTACCAAGCATCCTTTTTCATACTTCCTATTATTGTAACTTCATACATTTGTGTGACATTCTGTAACACTTTTTTTTTTTTTTTACTCTGTTTCAAGCAGCTACTATATAATCTTTCCTTATATACACTTTATTTCCATTCTCTTGGCAGATCAATATATTTGGGCACACTTTATTCATACAGGACCCATGCTTTCTCTTCCTGCAGTCATTCTATTTTTATTCTAGTTTCTGTCACTTCTTTACTACTTGTCCATGTTCATTGTTTCATAAGATCCCACTAAAGCCCTCAAGATTCCCCCCCCACACACACACATACACACATCATAGGAAATATTGTTCATAGTATTAGCTATTAGCTGAATCCTTTTGTGCAGGTTTAAGAAAATCCCAAATAACAGCACATCCACATGTTCAAATAATTGATCCAAAGGGAAATGAATTCCCAATCCAGTAAATACTTAATTCAGCTTTATTTTGAAAATACTTTACTACTTGTCCATGTTCATTGTTTCATAAGATCCCACTAAAGCCCTCAAGATTCCCCCCCCACACACACACACATACACACATCATAGGAAATATTGTTCATAGTATTAGCTATTAGCTGAATCCTTTTGTGCAGGTTTAAGAAAATCCCAAATAACAGCACATCCACATGTTCAAATAATTGATCCAAAGGGAAATGAATTCCCAATCCAGTA